TACAAGCTAGAGAGGCAGCGTGTGATTGAATCCCCCATTGGAAAAAAAAAAAAAATTATAGGAAAGAAATTATCATTTTAATTGTTTTGATGATAATCCGCACTCTTTTGGTGACTTGTAAGAATTAAGAAGAAACACACTATGGTGTACAGAATTGGAAATATTTGACATTTTTGGCAGATACATCTTTTTGCTGCTCTGAGTGGAAAATGGGTACGTACACGTTTGGTCACTCAAGGTCACAATCCTTCTCAGTGCGAGGTCAATTATCTTATGGCAGCTTTGGCTAATTGCAAGCTGTGTGAATCACAGCAAGGAATCCCGAGACCTCGAAAAGGAAATTGTAAAACAAAAATAGTTCCTATACCCTTAACCTTATTTTATGTAAAAAGCTGCTTGAGTTTTTTTTTTTTTTTAAACAAATTATATATCAGCTTGGTTTTTTTTCCTTTTTTTTTTTTTACGGGTTTGAAATTGATTACTTTTTTCTTATTTATTTATTTTGTTGTTTTTTTGCTGTTGAAGATTTGGGATTGATTTTTTCACATACAAAAGTGGTTATCGTGTAGGCAAAGAATTAAATGTTTGTGCTGTGGCGCTCATTCACCTTACTGGAATGCCTACTAGTTCAATTGAATATTGGCAATAAAACAGAAAACTACGTCAAAAGTCAGAAATTTTTATGTCAAGCAGCATTGGTTGATAAAATAATGAGTTCGTTTTTTCTACATTTAATATAGATAACTTATCTACATTGAGCTCAAAACGATGTTATTTTGAGACAGAAATCAAAGTATTTTTGTAATTATAATTTATTTCAGGGTTATAATAATCTTTTTCATTATAATTTTTCAATGCAAAACGACGTTGTTTTGAGAGCGAATGTAAATAATTTATTTACATTCACTTTAGAAACATTAAAGCCTAAAATAATATACGTAGCTAACTACCAAAATAATAATAATATATGTAGCTCAACTATTTTTACGTTTAATATTATTTTCTCCGAATCCCAGTCTACTTTTGTATAATAAATTATACTTGAGAGTGACTTAATCTTTTAGTTTATTTATTTTTAAAAAGGAAACATGTTATTCTTAACTTTTATTTGTTTAGAATTCAAATTCAATTTTTTCGAATTAACTATATATATATATATTATACTTTTCAATTTTCATCTTTTAACTTCTATTTTTTAAATTTTATTTGAATTTATCATGCATATATTATTTATAATTTGGAATGTTTTAAAATAATACTTTTTAAATTTAAATACTCATTACAATATACAAACTATTTGTTATGTAAATATTCATAACATATTATAAGAAAAAATTATTTAATATTAAGATGTCTAAGATTTAATTATAAAAAATTTATATTTAATTATGATTTGAATTCGTTGCTATTACTCCTCTCCCTCTTAAATTATAAATGTATTTTACATCTTTTCAATTGTTCAGTTGCATTTATCTGTTTATAGTAGTAGAAACAAAAACCCTAAACCTCAATGCAGGGCATGACTAGAATTGAACAAGAGACTGGGACCAGCGGTGAATCGCGTGTAGCCGGCTGTATGGAGCTCATGGCCGTGAGATAATAGTTAATAGTTATATTGCATCAATACGAAACACGAGACAGACACGATACGACGTTTTGACATGTCAAATTTTTTAAAATATCGGTGTTTCGTAGATTATTAGGCTAAACGATAATTTTATGATAATAAATGAGTTTAGTTTTTTTTAATATTGAGTATATGAGTCCCTCTGCTTATTCAGTTTTTACTTCACCCGTTTCTATTTAATATGGGATTTTACCCCTTACATTTGAAATCTCAACATAGGGCTTTGTTGTTTACAATTAAAATAACTTACTTTTTTATTTTTTATTTAAATATCAATTCAATAAAATATCATATTATAGTCAGTTATGTGAATAATTTCAGTTAAAATTGAAGGAATGGTTAAAATAAAAATAATATTTTTCCAATTAAAAAAATTAAAGTATGGTACAATTCATCTTTTTATTTTTAGGGTTTTTTAATTAGGGATATTTTTAAAATTTTATATATAGATTAATATTTTACATATTAAGGATGTTTTTGATTTTTTATACAATACAAATATTTTTAATATTCAAGGAAGGAATCAAGTTATACACATTACACACAGCAACCATAATGGTCTAGGTGATAAATTTAAAAAGTGATAGATGTTATAATTAAAGGCGGTGAAAGTGGAGTTTTTTTTATTTTATTTAATATTATTTATTTATTATTTAATTTTTAGTTATTAATGATATTTATTTATATTTATATGTGTCTATTATCATACGTGGGACAAATGGCGTCTTGTTCACTTTTAAAATCGCACATGATTCTTCCAAGTCCAATTAGGGGTGTAAATATGCTAGATTAGACTAGGCTTTGATTTAAATAAACCAGGTCTGTATAAAAGATCTTATGTCTAACTTGATCTACATTTAAAAAATAAAAGTTTTGGCTTAGGCCTATTAGCCTGTTTAAGTCTATTAAACATTCAATAATTAAAAAAATAACTAAAATAATATTACTTTATTCTTCAAAATTATTAAAAAAATAATTTTATTTATTTTATTTAAAATAAATAATATTATATAGGCTAGTCTATAGGCTTATAGGTCTGACATGTACAAAAAAGTTTATGGCTTATTTTTTAAATAAGCTTTTTTAAAAACTTAGACCTATTTTATTTGACTATTTGTAATAAGTCAAATTTAACCTAATATAAACTAGGTCGTAGACCTCTGTAGACCGTCCTAACCCATTTACACCCCTAAGCCTAATTGATTCAATATTTTAAAGTGGCAAGAATTGCATATTTCTCAACATTAATTATGAAACGGAGTGGAGGATTTTGTCTTGATTGCTAAACTAGCATAACATATAAGCCTTTTTTTAAGTGCTCCCATCAGCGCATACCTTTCACATGCAGCCTAGAGAATACACCATTATATTACAAAATGTTGTAATACAAATAGGTCTCCTCCTAAATGGAAGACCCATTTTCCGCCTAACTTCCAATCAGTTAGCGCTAGTAGGGAAACGACTATTAGGGGGCATTTCTTTGTGGAAATTTTTTTGGAACAGTAGAGAAATGTAATAGATACAGAAATGATTGGAAAGTGAGATAAAATGAGATAGGTAGAAAAATATAAAAAAAAGTTTACTGGAAAAATTAAGTAACTTTTATGAAATCAACAGTGCATTAAAAGTGAGATAACCGGTTTTCCAAAAAATCTCACCTTCAAACTGGGTTTCTAAACAGTGCGGATATCTATGTTTCTCATAAATCCATACAAATTGGATAGATGGATTTTTGGTGAAAATATGTTGAAACAAACACGGTGTTTCTAAAAGTCATACTTGAGAAACATAGATATTTCTTGAAAAGCTCCAAACCAAACACCACCTTAGGTATATCTTTTTCTAAGTAGTCGTTATGAAAGTTATATTTACAAACTTTTATAAATTATATTATGTCTGACTGATAATATATTCTTGAATGAAGTATTACCGGCAAGACATGATGTAATTTGTAAAAATTTATAAAAAAATTTATAAACAGATCATTCGCGATTAATTATATCTAAATTTGTATTATATCTAAATTTGTACAGATCACTTAACACAACAGTACTTTATGCACATATTATATTCACAACACACATACACAGACGGACATATATAATATTTGTTACTTAAGTTAATCCTTTATCCATAGGCACGAACAGATAAACTAAAAGAGTCACAAAATATTAAATATCCCTGATGAGACTCTTCGATCAGTAGGAGTTGCATTTATTAGGGCAAATTAATAAATAAATGTCAGTTTGTAGTTAGTCATTATTAATTTCTTTGTCTATCATACACAATTTTTTTTTTTTATACAAAGTTGGGATCTTGCATGCTTAAACTTGCAAGAAAAGGGTAAAAATAAAATTTTAAAATTATAAATATTATTAAGATTAATAAGAGATATTAATTATTATAAATATTTTTAAGGGAGTAGTTAATTATTAATACTAATAACTTATTATTATTAAAAAATATTATTTTATATATAAAGTAATAATAAATTAAAATTTAAGGAGAAGCGATTGCCAATACTAACCCTTCCCTCGTTCTGCCTCTAATCATGGGGAAACTCTCAATTGAACAATGTAAATAATTAAGTCAAACGCAGTCAAACCCATAAATCGGCAAGAAAATGAGACGAAAATTAGATAGCATAATAAATGCCAATTTTAACTACCATCTGTCATTGTAAGTTATGTGTTTTATTTTACCTACTCTAAGAAACAAAAATCGTTTCGCTTTCAATCCAGCTACTTATAACCGGTCTCAAACTGCTAATAATAGAATACTGGCCAAGGGGTCCCTTCATACTGATGTGGATTCTCCCAATTTGTTTACCTCTATTGAATCGTTCCTTTCACTTTTTCTGCCACACTCTGCATCCTCTCTCTCTCAGTGTGTCCACTATCCCTCTCTATACTACCCCTTCTAATTTATGACTCTCCTCTTTCTTATTGCCATACTCGGAACAGTGATTAAACTATGAAACCATATTTTTTATCATATTGTGACGTGTGATGATTCGTTATCACTAGTAGTGAATTTTAGGACTAATAATTTCAAGACACGTGATCATATTGCGTACCAAACATATAACAATAATTTGCTACCAGTCGTATCAAATTATTCTATATAACAGTCTGGTAAAAAATATTGTTCCGCCATGCTCCGTAACAAGAAAAACCATTAATGACAACACAAACTTAAATTTTCAAACCATATTTTTTTTTCTCTCTCTCTTTGGTTGGGTTGTTTCACAACACAAGTTGAGATAGTTTATAGAGTACTACTACTACCATTAGGATCTCAGTTAACTCATATTTAATTTTGCCTCTTAGTTTAGATGGGGAATGACTTCAAGAGAGTGACATAAAAGGCATTCATGGCTTCACTTAATTCATATTATAACTTCACCATCTTGCTTATCATAGTTCTAGTGAACCACTTGATGTGTTCAGTTTCTTGCTTCAATCAACCGCAGCCTGCAATTCCTTCAAGGGTAGGCTTTAATGTAAAGCAATGGTGTTTTTTCCTCTTCACTCCCTTTGCCTCTGTTTTATGTGTGTGTGTGTGTATACTTTGGTTTGAAAAGGATTCAATTGGGTATGTATGTTATGTGCAGGACTTGTTATATGAAGAGGAAAACAGGTTAGGTTCAATTCCTCCTAGATGCCACAACAAGTGCAACCAGTGTCATCCATGCATGGCAGTGCAAGTTCCAGACTTGCCTAGCCATGAGCGGGTTCAGCCAGATCTTGCCATGGAAAGTTTCTTTCTTCAAGGTAATAGGTACTCCAATTACAAGCCTTTGAGTTGGAAATGCCATTGTGGTGGCCACTTCTTCAACCCTTAGAAATTTTTTGTTTCTTATTCTGATGGGGATTATCCTCACACCTTCATTTGTAAAATGGAAATTGCCCCCCCCCCCCCCCTTTTATTTTTTGGTTTTATAATTATAAGTTTTAATTATAACTGATATTGTGCCTGAAGAAGGGTCAATGGGAATGCTTAGGTTTCACAGATGTGTGTAACTTGCGTCACCATTGATTGTATACCTTGGAGTTTGATACACTTGTACAGTGTTTGTTACGGACCTGAAATCTTACTTTATGGTTGAGTCTAAATTTTGTGATAGTTTCCTTTGTACTGCTTTTCTATGTGCTTATTTAATTCTCCTTCCAGTCAATGAAGACTATATGCTAACCTTGGGGGTCCTGATTCCTGAACAGAAGGCGAGTGTGATTTGAAAAAAAATAAAAAAGGTTTTGCAACATAAATAGACTGTTAATATGTATAAGGTTGTGTGAGTCAAATACACTTGTCCCTACAATTTATCTTTAAACATGATAAGTTGTGCCTACATAAAATTGTTTCGTTGTGATAGTTCTTAGTTGTCCATAGGAAATGTTCTTTTCCTTCTTTATTCCCTTTTAGTTTCCCGATGACCCTTTAAGCTCTTTCTTGAAGGGAAAGGCCGTAAGAGAGCATGATGAACTAAACGGTGGTAGTTCAGTTGGCGCACAACAGCTGAGCATGTGAGGATGAGAGAATGTATTCAATCACTTTCAGTATTATCTTTGAGAGAAATTTAAAACTTTAATCCTGACTTTGCCCCAAATCTTGATTTATCAAAAAATAAAATAAAAAAGAGAGCATGACCAACTATTAAGCATGTCATTAAAATGTTAGCGTATAATCTTAACCGTGATGAAGTGACGGATGACTTAGGGTGGATATCGCCCCATTATATAAGAATCTTTATCTTATTTTCTATTTAAACTTAAGGGGGTATTTGGTAGAGGAAAAAAAAAATTTATCCGGGAATCTCAATTTTCAAAAATATGATTTTTACCTTCAGTTTACGGTAATATTTGAAAATACAAAATTTAAAAAAATTCAATTGTCCAATAATCCTGGAAAATTCCGTATACCAAACGTGTCCCCTAAGAGAAATGTAGAATAATAAAAGTTTACCCTCTCAACCTTAATCTTACAACTTTCGTCTTTATTATTTCTTATATATAAATAAAATATGAAAAAAAAATCTGACTACTTATTAACCCATAATCATTTCACCCTATGTGAGTTGTGTAAATTTAGTTTTCTTCCCCCTTTTCATAATTTTTTTTGTTTCCACAATTGAATCATACGGGTGTAGACGGATGGCTACGTTCAGCTTGTCTGTACTATGTTTATCTCACGGCCACTCATTACAAGTCACTCGGTTTACAATAAAAATATAAATATGATTAGAAAATCTTAACAACAGTTATTCATGGACCCAAACTCAAATTACTAAGAAAATTATAATAAATCAAAGGCCCACTACAGGCATGGGGGCACTGACCCCCGAACCTCTGCCCGCTCACTTGAGAACGGAATCTTAGTTGTCTTTATACTGACCCTGACAACAAGAACCCTCGTCACCATACGAAGTATAAGTCATACCAACAATACCCTCCCTTTTTAACAGCTTTACGAAAATATCCATGCACTGTTTCTCTCTTGATTCCAAAAATAAAAATTGGATAATAAAAAAGTTTAAAGATCCCTATTTGTAAAATTATTCTTTAAATTCCTTATTATAATGTAATAAAGTGACGTGAAATTCACGCACATTAATTGGAGGAAAATGATTCCTATTGGGAAAGGTTTTTTTTTTTCTTTTGGTGGCTTTTACAAGACTTCAGTAACATTTCACCTACAAAGAGAAAACTGACACTGACATGTGTTATCGCAAAAATTGTTACTGAAGCATGACTTTAATGCTTCCTCTTTCGTGCTATGAACCTAAACTCCTATCGAATATTTAAGCAGTGTCTTCCGTTTATGTGTTAGGCTAAACCCACCAGCCATCAAGGGAATCTACTATTTCAGCTGACTGAATAAGACGCCAATAACTACCACACCAACATTCAGAAAGTGTCTTATTACTCCTTATAAAGAAGCTGTTCTACCGTTAAATGCTGCAATACCCTTTGCCCTGTTAGCTGTAGCTGTGAACTTTGCCACGTTCATTCATTTTCTTGACATTAAAAGATGTCGAGTTTAGCTTGTACTTCGTGCTAGTAACACTAATAGTGAGTTTTTATTAAGCTTGATAGGAGAGAAGTTCTCTCTTATTCTGAAAAATATCTAATATATTACTGTCTCACTATTTGCTTGGTGCTACCAGTCAATAGAAATTCATGAATAATTGTGATATTTGTACACATAAGAGAGAGAAATGTTTTTTTATCCAAATGTCACTTGTTCAAGGAAAGAGCTACCTACTACAGTTGTATAGAAGATGTTGTCCATATTGTATAGAAGATGTTGTCCATATTCTGACACAATGAAACGAGGTCTATCAATTTTTTGTTTTAGAAAAATAGCTCATTTTTCTATGTCAGAGAAATATGAGTGTTTTCTTTTACTTCATAAAAAAATGATTTTCCTTTCAGTAATCTTAAGACGAAAAAAATGGCAGCTCGTGCCTCATCAATTATTTTAGTAGTTTCAATATTTTCTTAGTTATATATATTGTAAAGCAATTAAATGCGAGCTGGGCCTGACCGCATGGATATGCAGCTTGTAATGTTGATTTGGGTTATAAAGTTTTTTTTTAAAAAAAATAAAATAAAATACATACACACTAATAAACAATCGTTTCACCCAACAACTTAAGTTTATAGGTGAAGAACCATCAAAGGGCATGAAGCATTAATATTGTACACGTCCATTCTTTTTCTACCTTATATTGACTTGATTTCACTAAAAAATGATGGGCGATAATTATTGAATTGGTAAATCCATAATCAAGAGGCTCTGATATTAGGATAAACAATTATCTCACTCAATAACTAAAGAAAGCTTATGAGTGAAGGCTCGTTAATAATTTTTATATTTCTCTAATACTAACATAAGTTTTAGATTGGGAAATGATTTTTATATAATTCCTTATGTTGGAAAAACTAAAAAGAAAAATGATTAAATAATGTGTTTTATATATTTTATTATCTTGCTAAAATAAAATATATAAAAAATGATGTGTAAGTAAAATTGTTTAAGATTTGTCCGCATCAAAAAACTCACACCGTTGACAGAAGTTGGCATGTTTTGGCATCTGTTCTTAAGCCAAGCATTCCAAAAGAATCTCTTTCTCAACTATTGATGTCATCACTTGTGCAAACTTTTCCACAAGGACACGTTGAAATCATCAACTCAACCACTTCCTTTGATCTATTAATTAATTATAGTAATGGAATATTGATCCCATGCTAGCTTTTGTCAATGAATAAATCTACAAAACGCAGTAAACTGCATAGACTAGAATCAGAACATTAGAAGAAAAAAATGAAGTCTTCACATACAAAGTCCCAACCCCATGTAGTGTGTGTTCCCTTCCCAGGACAGGGACATATAAACCCTTTTATGCAATTGGCCAAGGTCCTTCACTGGAAAGGGTTCCACATAACTTTTGTCAACACTGAATCCAATCATAGACGTTTGGTCAGGTCTCTGGGACAAACCTTTGTTAAGAGCCAACCAGGTTTTGATTTTGAGACTATCCCAGATAGTTTACCACAAAGAGATGGTGATACAAACCCAGATGTCTCAGCCCTGTGTGATTCAACCCGAAAGAACTTTTTGGCACCATTCAAGAAGCTTTTGACCAAGCTAAACACATCTTCAAGGGTTCCTCCTGTTAGTTGCATAATATCTGATGGGGTCATGAGCTTTGCAATTAAAGCTGCTCAGGAATTGAACATACCTGAAGCTCAGTTTTGGACTGCATCTGCTTGTGGATTCATGGGATACTTGCAATTCGGTGAACTAGCTAACAGAGGCATTATTCCATTCAAAGGTTGCTTTTTGTTATTGATTATGAATTATTTTGTTATAATAATGTTGTTGGAGATATATAAAACCATTAATGTAGTCTCACGTAACAGTTTAAGCTTTTGAGTTGAATTGATTTTTTACATGGTATCAGAGTCTCGATGTCCCGAGTTTGATCCTCGCCGCACTCCATTTTCTTTATGAATTTCTTAGCAGAGGTAGGCTGAGCTGATGCATCATCAATCTTTCAAACTCAATGTGCTCTTTTGTGAGGGGGCGTGTGAGACATATATAATATCATTAACGTAGCCTCACTCAATAGCTTAAACTTTTGGATTAAATTAGTTCTTTACACATGTTTTGCATTATATATAAATGTTTGGATTGGTTAAGTTGCAATTATTTATCATCTTGTTTCAGATAATGAATCCATTACTGACAGTGCACTGGACAAGCCCATAGATTGGATTCCAGGTATGAAAAATGTTAGACTCAAAGACATGCCAAGCTTTATCAGAACAACAAATCTTGATGAGACCATGTTCAATTTCATGGGGTCAGAAGTAGAGAAATGCTTGACATCATCAGCTATCATTTTTAACACATTTCAAGAGTTTGAACTAGAAGTCCTTGCTGCAATAAAGGCCAAGTTTCCCAACATATACAACATTGGCCCACTTCCCTTGTTATGTAGGCATGTCCCTGAGAACAAGTTTATGTCCCTTGGGTCAAGTTTATGGGTGGAAGACTCCAATTGCCTCAGTTGGCTAGATAAATGGCAACCCAATTCAGTTATATATGTGAATTATGGAAGTTGGACTGTGATAACTGAGCATCACCTAAAAGAACTTGCTTGGGGTCTTGCAAATAGCAAGCACCCATTTTTATGGATAATTAGGCATGATGTAGTAATGGGTGAATCAGCAATTTTACCTAAGGAGTTTTCTGATGAGATTAAAGAAAGGGGATACATCACAAGTTGGTGCCCTCAAGATAGAGTACTTGCACATCCATCAATTGGGCTTTTCTTAACACATTGTGGATGGAATTCACTAACAGAAGCTATATGTGGGGGTGTGCCTATCATATGCTGGCCTTTCTTTGCAGAGCAGCAAATGAATTGTAGATATGCGTGTACAAATTGGAGAATAGGGGTGGAGATAAATCATGATGTAAAGCGTGGAGAGATTGCTGAGCTTGTTAAGGAAATGATGGAAGGAGATAAGGCAAAGGAAAAGAAGCAAAACGTTTTAGAATGGAGGAAAAAAGCAGTACAAGCAACGGATATAGGTGGCTCATCCTATAATGATTTCAATAGGTTAATAGAAGAGGCTCTTCATTTTGGAGAGTGATTCAAAATTTCATCAGTGTTATGGTCTTGTAAGAGGCTATTGTAATAAAAGCCTCTTCTTCTTCTTCTTTTTATTTTGTAGAGTAATTTAATAAATTTAGTAAATGTTCAGGTCGTGTAAAAGTAACTCACACTTTTTTTCAGTAACTGAAGGGTATCCTCACCCCCTTCGGGGGTGAGATTAATCCCAAACGAGCACCGTAGGACCCTTGCGGGGGCGGCTCTACCCAACCCTTTTTTTCCATACCCAGGACTCGAACTCGAGACCACTGGTTAAGGGAACACAGCCTCCGGACCAACTGTGCCAAAAGATTTGAGTAAGTAGCTCACACTTTAAGTTCTTGTTCTATGTTTAATGGAAAGAACCACGCAGGGGAAATAATAATAAAATAAAAAATTTGTGAGCTCTAATTAGAAGTATCTAAGTAAACCAAACCATAGTAAAATAAAGTACATAAATCGCAAATTATGTCCATCAAATTTACTGTGAGAAAACCCTCCTCAACGTGGAAAAAATTATTCACAGGACTATAAAAGCTATGCTATTGTTACCAAAACCAGAAATGCAAAGGAGTTTATGCAGTCTCAAGTAATAGATATAAAAATATTATCAACACATTCTTCAATACTCTTTCAATTATTTTGTGAAGTTTCTTACTTAGTCCACTAAAAAAATAACCTAGCCCACTCTATATTGGTGTGGCCAGAATGAAATTTCACTCAAAACTAGTGTGTTATGAAGCGAGTGCCAGAGAACATGTTATCAGTATTTCTCCAAGATCAAAGAGTAAACCACTAAACCACAAAGACCTAAAGTTATCAACAAGATAGCAATAGTCAAAAAGAGTTAACAAAGGTCACTACAAAAATCATTTCTGTTCACGATTTATCAAGGAATTATACAGGGGAAATTCAAATCAGAGTATCCAGCTTGAAGAAAAATGAATGAAATGTATGAAGAATCTCAAGATAAAATTTCAGCTCAAATGAAATATATATATGAGAAAAACTAATATTACGTAACATGATATAACAATTTTTACCTACTCACCCATTGATTTTTGCACCAGCATTTTTTATTTTTTGTTTTTATTATATGTATGGGACCTACATGATTTTTGTTTGAGTAGGAAAAATGCTTTAGATTATGTTGCAGGATAGTAGGTTTACCCTATATATATATATATATATATATATATATATATATATATATATATATATATATATATACTATTTAAAGTAAGAATTTTCTCCTAATTTTTTTTTAAACCTCCCCTTTTTTCTTCTCAACTCAATTACCCCCTCCCTCCCCTTTAAAGCAGTCATAAAAATGTACTGAATATTTAGTATACGATCTTAAGAATTTTGATCCAATCATAGAAGTTAGTTAAATTTAAATATTGATAAGAATTACTCCAAAAACAATCTATTGGGATTGCTCTAGGAAAATAGATTTTATTAATGAAAGAACAAATATAACAAACGTGCTATATAATGCTTTAGTTGTAAGTTTCTCAAACGAAATCCCAATATGGAATATTAGTTAAATTACTTTCAACAGAGTACAGGTAAAACCAAAGGGGTGGTGGCGCAGTTGGCTAGCGCGTAGGTCTCATAGCTTCTGAGTTATCCTGAGGTCGAGAGTTCGAGCCTCTCTCACCCCATCATTTTTTTATAGCCCCTTTATTTATTTATCTTTTAGTGTTTGTTATTCTCAAACATTTCTTTTGTACTTGTTGAGTTGTTTGAAAGGTACTTGCTCTTAAATATCCCTGCAAATGACCACTGTCATCGCATGTTAAAAGAATTCAAGTCGCTTCTACTTAGATCAACACGCGCGCATCAATCACTGCAACTCTTAATCATCACAATTGTCACATATTACTACTTCCAAATTTTCTTGCTTCTGCTAGTGCTGGAACTTGCTGGAACTTTAACTGATATTAGCATAAGTTAACTGGGACGTGCAAAATATGCCAACAATAAGGGATTTTGTATTCTTCTTTCTTTATAAATAACATTAAGTAAATGAGTGCACATCATTCGGCTTTGTCTAAAAGAAATAAAGTTACAAAAAGCAAGTAAATTCCAATGAAGAAAAATATCTCTAGTTTATTCTGCTCTTCATATCCATGTGTCTATAACGACTAATAACCTACACCCACCAATACATGCTCACCCCTCCAACATTTCTATAATAAATAGCTTCTCCAAGTTCTCAGTCTAAAGGTCAAGAATGGAGCATCCATAAAAAGGAAAAGAATATTTATGGGGTTATAAATACATAGGACATAAAGGTTCCCACAAAAAATTATCTCGTAATGGTGGCAGCCTTCTTGCCTTTGCTTAAATCAGCAAGTTCCTCAATAAGTTTTTTCTCATCGCTGCTCAGTCTTTTAGGGATTTCAACTTGCACTCGAACCAATTGATCACCCCTCATATTCTTTTTATTCAGCAGGGGGACACCTTTCTTAGCCATAACAAGTGTTGAGCCTGGTTGAGTCCCAGGTGGGATTTTCAAATCCACCATGCCGTCTACAGTTGGAACCTTAATTTTAGTCCCCAAGATTGCATCAATATAAGACACCTTACATGAGTATAAAATGTTAGTGTCATCTCGTTTAAGCACAGGATCTGGGATAACTTCAAGAACAACAAAGAGGTCACCAGGAGAACCCCCGCGCCTTCCAGCATTACCTTCATTTTGGACCCTTAAACGGCTACCAGAATCCACACCAGCTGGAATCTTTAGAGTTATCTGCTTTGTTTTCCTCACTCGACCATCCCCAGAACATGTACTGCAAGGTGTTGAAATTTCTCCAGTACCATTGCAAGAAGAGCATGTCATTGTCTGCTGAAAGATACCTAATGGAGTCCTTGTTGACGAGACAACACGACCCTGACCACGACAAGTGCTGCATTTGGATGATTTAGTCCCTGGTTTAGTCCCTGAACCCTTGCAAGTTCCGCAGCTCTCTAATCTCTTAATCTCTATATCCTTTTCCACTCCAAAAACAGCTTCTTTAAAGTTCAAAACATAACTGTAATACTCATCCTCACCATCAGCTGCTCCATTCCAAGAACCTCTGGTGTTCATGCCACCATTCATGCCCTCAAATAGTGTCTCGAACAGATCAAAAGCATTACTGAAATCCTAATATAACAAAGATAATCTTTCTTTGAGAAACAGGAATATGTGATAACAAAATAAAATTCCCCATCACCTTCAGATGTAACTTACCCCCGTTCCCATTCCTGAACCTTTAAGCCCATCCTCTCCATATCTGTCATATATGGGTCGTTTCTCATCATCTGATAAGACCTACAAAAGAATTTAAAATACAGAAGATCAATTATGACTAGAAATGCATAATGGCCAGCTGTGTTCAATAATCTGTAGTTTTACCTCATATGCATTACTAATATCTTTAAACTTCTGTTCTGCACCAGGTTCCCTGCAGCATAAAGTGAATATACAATAGTTCAACAATAAGCAACATTAATCAAATGATTATGACAAGAGAAAATCATGCAACTAGCAAAATTGACATGTGACGAGGTAGGTACTTGGCCAAAAGAATTTATCCAATAAGCAGGTCAGGAAGTATACAAAAACATAAATTTTTAAAAAGGACAGCCTGCAGGCATTATAGTCCAAGACATCTGAAACGCTGTGTCCACAGCAATAGTGAGATAAAAAAGTTAAAAGTTACAAAAGAAAAATACAGTGGGGAGCAAGGAAAAGGAAGGGCATTAGAAAGTAGATGATGTTCAATATGAAAAAGGTCGAAAAAACTCACTTATTCACATCCGGATGATAATTTCGGGCGAGTTTCCGATAAGCTGAAACGTCAAAAGTAGATCGAAATTTGATATTGTAATGACAGAGCAGCAAACTAACCCACAAAAAATATGTGTAATCAAGTAAATCATATGCACGATCTAGTTAATAATAATCTCTTAATCACAACCATCTATCATTAGCCCTGGTTGTTGATGTTTCCCATCCATCACTAACTATAAACTATTTTTGTAAATCTATCCACTACAAAGAAATGAAATCAAATGGATGTTTAGTATCAATTTCTGGAGTCTTGGGTGCAAATTTTCCTAGAGGATCTTACCAGAACTCTAGTTGATGTTTGTCCTATTAGTCTAAACAAAAGTCTCATCATACCATACAATACCAAAGAACAATCAAAGGCATAAAAAATGCAACTAATTTTTAAAATTTCCAATAGTTGGTTCGGAAAGCTAATCCCCTTTACTTAAATCACTAATCAATACTACACATCTTATTGATATCATTACTCTAGTTCTCATCCTAAGTTTTGGCAGATTTCTTAGGCAGTTTTCTTTTAGATTTCGTTATCAGTACATATCCTGTGCACTTCACATGCATTTTAGGTGCACCTTTTTTAGTATTAGTATTTTGATTTCTCAAGATTAAAGGCAGCAGCAAGAGTTATATAAAAGGTGATAATCATTGAGTAATTAACAGACTAAGCCTGCCGTGGTAAGTGATTTTCCTTTACACAGAGATCACTGCTATACTATAAAAATGGTCATTCATGAAGTAATCAACAACTAATGAGTAAATAAAAACAATAAATATGAACGCATCAATTGTTGATGATGGAACCATAATTATATTAATCAGAAAAGGAAGGGGCTGTAGAAGAATACCACTCTTAATTTCAGATTTAGTAGAATTTCTAGACACCCCAAGGACAGAATAGTAATCCTGTATATTGGCACACATTAGATAATCAGTCTAATATATTGAATTTCATAAACAATTTAAAGAGTACTTTCATAAGGCACAATTGTATAGAAAAACCCAAAAGAAAAATCATTGTTGTTTAGAAATGCACGAGCGATTCGAACTTACTGAATCTGCTCTAACTATCAATCTTGATCCCTTGCGATGATGCAAAGTTTGAGATGAACCTATGTCAATTAGTCCACGCAAGGATTCCCGAGAAAAAAAGCTTGAACTTGGGGCAGCCATAAAGCTTACCCTGCTTGTAAAACTGCAAGGAAAATGTGTTAATTTAATTACACCCACCAGCACAAAGAACTATGCAGAAAAAAATCATCTGTACCTATTGAGTAAGACATTGCAGAATAATAATAATGATATCTAATGACAGGTAGGATAGAAAATAGCCCCTAGTTTCCAAGAATCAGAGTATTTACTCAAACAACAAAAAGATAACTATGTTCGACATTTTATGACAATTACAGTAACAAAATCACATCTTATGAACAGCTTATGGTCATATCCCGAGGATAATATGAGATATAACTATGTTCAAAGTAATTAAGCTATTTTCCATGTGCAAGAGCATCAACATTAATCAAGAAATATATAAACATAAAACTCACTTGTGGCAGGATGATGCAATCTTGCCAATTGCACTCGATCTCGTGATAAGCTGAGGACGAATTCCCCATTGAGTAGCTGATGCACTACCAAATGGTGCAATAGCCATCTAAGATATTTTCACAAAGACAATATGCTAATCAATATAAAATTTCTTGATGAAAAATTCTGATAATTTTGGACTGAAAATTTCTGTGCCAAACCTGGGAAGAGACTATCTGAATATATCTAAAAAATTAAAGAAGCAAAACATATGTCCCAATGAATTACAAGGTACCTAAATTCGATTAAAATAAAATAAAGAGGAAAAAAGCACTTTCGAAATGCCAAGTAATGACTAATGAAGGACAAGCTAGTATACCAGAAACCAAAGGAACGAAAAAAAACTTGTAATTTGGCGTACACAAAATAAACAAGAATAGGAATGGAGTTTTGCTTAACCTTAGCCACTGTTACGCGCTGTCTCTGGTGGTATTAGAGAGAAGGGAAGGGCACGGGGTAAGTATTGTTTTGTATGTGTACGTTTGGAACACAAGTGGGAGTTGGAGGATGAGGATACAGTGTTCAGTTTAGTTTTACACCTCACTATCTACTTCGCGGCTTTTAGAACCCTAACAATGCATTCTCCCTTATACTCCAATGCTAAAATACATTCTTGTCACCACGATATTAATTACGGAAAAAATAATATTTTTCCTTTTCAAATGATATAAATTTGTATCATTTTAAACAAAACGACATTATTTTGATGCATAAATGATAAATTTTTGTCTTTTCTCTCCCATATTTTCTCTCCTTTGTGGATTGGAGAGAATATAAAAAATTACTAATTATGCATCAAAACCATATCGTTTCATTTAGAATGACATAAAGGACAAACGTTTTTTTTCATTATATATAAGAAAGAATATTTCTTCAGTAAACTCAAAACAATGTCATTTTGTGATTGAAATATTTAAAAACTAATATAACTCTAAAATAAATTAGAATTACAAAAATACTTTTTTTAAACCCAAAACGATATCATTTTAAACTTCTTGAAAATAAGTTATCTCCCGTCATTAGAAAAACGTTTAATCTTTATTTATAACGGATTAACTATTTAAATTTTATTTTACCCAATGACATAGTTTAGTTGGTGGAATGAAACTAAATAGGTAGAAAAAAACGTCAATTCTATCCCATCAATATCATTTTGTTGAGTATATAAAATTTTAATTCTCGACTTGAGCCTAAATATCAATTAGTCCGAAGAAGGCTCAAATAATCTGTTTTTACCGGTGGTGAAAACCAAAAAAACTATATAAATTTAATTTTATATGTACAATTATTTTTAACATCCTCTTTCTCATACCTTTATAATGTTATAAAATTGAAGTAAAAGTTGCTAGATTATATAAAAAATATTTTATAATATCTTGGTTGTATTTTATTTATTTTAGTATTTATATTATTTCTATATTTCATAATTAGAAAAAGTGTGTATCATTTTAAAGAATGTAAAATTGTGTCATTCTAAAAGAGAAAAAAATAGATAAAGGAGGAGAGAGAATTGACAAAAAAATAAGGTGTGGGTCCCACTTCTTCATGAGAGTAAATGATATAAGTTGTGTCATTTAAAAGAATAAATATTTTTCCCTTTCTAATAAGGGAAGGATCCATTTACAAATTTTTTTTACAAATTGCACTATGTTCTCCGGGAAGAAAATAGTGTGACTAGTGTTCTCTCAGAAGAAGATAATGTAGTTTGTAAACAAAAAAGTTTGTAAATATAACATCTCACTTCTAATATCACAAAACAATCGTGAATGAAGTGTACTTTTTATATATTTATATTTTCTCAACTTGGCTTCCAACAACAACCGACCTTAGCTCAGTTGGTAGAGCGGAGGACTGTAGTGGGTCATTCCTAGCTGGTATCCTTAGGTCGCTGGTTCGAATCCGGCAGGTCGGATTTTTATTTTATTTTTATTCAACAGAACAGATTCAAAGTCTTTTATTTCTCATCATAACGTGAAACCCTATCTTTTTTCATGAATATCCAACAAAATAGTATGTTTCATCTGGGAGACAAACACACTACTAGTCTACTACATATAACATTTGCAATATACTCCTAACAATGTGAGAAAAACATGTCATACACACATTATAAGTTTTTCAATATGTCGAGGGGAAAACAGCAACAATCAGCCCATAATATTACAAAATTCCTGTATCATACACTTTCCAGAGTTCAGAGTGTACTTAGCCTACAGCAATAATTTAACTAATTTATATATAGTGGATGATCCGTTAAGTTTCCTTTCCGATGCTCATATGTATGCCTCTTCATTCTCTCCTTTTTCCCAGCAGCGAACCAATTTTCCAACCTACACCAATTTTCCCAGCATGGCTCATAATCGTGGGGATAAAACAATAGAGAAAAATAAGTATCCACAATGCAGAAAAGTTCTCCCATTTCTAAGGGTCAACCTTTCTGGTCCACCTTGTGACCATTGCTGTGGTTTTCTTGCTTAGATGGATTTAAGGGATCAATGAGGAAGGATTTTAAACTCTTGTACAGTTCATTGGGCTTCTCTGCATTGATTGCATGCCCTGCATCCTTAATGACCACAAGTTGTGCCTTCTCTCCCACAAGACTACACATAAGTAAAACAAAAAAATGAAATTCAAAATTCAAAACAATCAGTTAAATTCACAACACAATAAAACCAACAAAGCTAAAGAATGTGTTTCGAAGATAAATCAATAGTGAACTTAAATTTCTTAAAATTACCGTTTCAGTCTGTGAGCTAATTCCAGTGGGAATACCTGGTCATGTTCTCCCCATATAATTTGTGTTGGCTGCACCATTGAAAAATGATGCCTTTTAGAAGTTACAATGCAAATTAACTCAAAATATAAAGTCAGAAGCAAAAATCAAACCTGGGTTATCTTAGGAAGATCAGACATGTTTCTATCCTTATGCAATGCTTGGATCAGTTCTTTCTTCTCCTGCTGGTATTCCATACACATCACCTGCAAGCAAGAAAAGCCGGTTTCAGAGAGTTTTGTTAAATGAGTAAGCCCATGTTTGTGACATTCAAACCAAGGTAACTAAGCAGTCTCAGTCATTTTCAGTCAAGAAAACAATCGGAAAAGATATAAACTTTCTCCGATCCAAATGTTGCATATCAAATAGGATAATACAACTAATCAGCTACTAAACAAAGCATTGCTCAAGTAACTAATTGATAGACGTTGCAAATCATCAACTTGACATTCAATCATTCATGACAAATATAGTCTCAAAATAACTGTACTGCCCTGCATCCATTGTATAATATAAATCCACATATTATCTAGTTCATTCCTAACCAACATGCCACTAAATTTCTCATCACCCATGCTTGAATTTATAACATACAGGTATATTATATATAGCAACCACCTTCAACCATATATTAAATTTGTAAGAGAAGTATAAAACCATTGAAGTAAACTCACCCAACACAGCTTAAGCTTTTGGATTGAATTGATTCCTGATTGTCACGGATTCAATCCTCACCGCCTCTCTTTAATTAACATTAATCAAATCTTATGGAGTTTTTTAGCACAGTTGACCTCACCCAACAGGCTTTTGGGTTAAATTGATTATTTACAAAATTAAAGAAAAGAAAACTCTGTTTTAGGATAGAAACCACTTACATCAATGAAATCTTTGAGAAAACAAGTTGGCAACACTTTGATAGGCTTAAAGAACGTGAGCTGAACCAATTGCCTCATCTTTTCTGGGGTCAGTGGGAGCAAGATACTCGCAGCATCGTCAACAGATTTCACCTTAAACATCCCTTCATCCATGTCCTTATCTTCCAAGCACACACCCGCACAACACAGCACAACCTTGTCAAAACACTGTGGGAACTGCGCCGCCATGCTATACGCCACAAACCCACCATAGCTTAACCCAACCACGTTCATTTTGCCTACCCCATGAGCCTCCATCAGACCCATGACACACTTGGCTTGGAACATTTCGGATCTCTCGGGTCGGGTCGTGTAGGAATCCCCGAAGAAAACCAAGTCAGGCACGTAGACATTGAAGTGGCACGTGAGTGGGGAAATGAACTGGTTCCACTGCCACAGTGCATTTGCTCCAATGCCATGGATTAGAAGAAGAGAAGGGTTTGAATCGTTGTGGGTTTTGGGGACCCAACAATGCATGATGGTGCCATCACCAAGATCAGTGGTTGTTGATTTGAGACCTGATTTGGAGAATGAATTACGGAAGCACCAGTCACGCCAAGCAGTGAAGCTTAAACATCTGTTACCCATTATTTCAGCTTTTCTGTTTGTTTGTTTTTCTCTTAAATTTGTGTATATGTTATTGTGTTGTGTCGTTGTTGCAGAGTGGAAGATACTGAGAAGGCAAAGAGTCAAAGACACAGTTCACTTCCCAACCACATAGGTAACACGACAAAAGTAGATGAAGAAATACCAGAATATATGTAATAATGGAAAAACTATTGGAGAGTAGGTTTATTTTTCCACACTAATCGATGTTCGTGTTGCTTTATTTTCATTTATAATTATATTTATGATAGAAGAAAATTTTATCACATAAGATTAATAAAACTTATATAATAATCATATTTGTATTTTATTTTAGGAAAATTATTTTTTCATATTGTTGAATATTGTTTTCTCATGCCCTCGGGGTACGGCCCGTTTGGGCTAGCCCCTCATTGTAACAGTGGGTGTACTAAGCTTCGCAACCGGAGAAAGGACGAGACTTATCCCTCAACCGAACATTTTTTTTGGCTTATCCTTTGGCCCCCAAAGATTTTCCAAGAAACTGCTTGATGCAGGGTTTGATCCCTGCACCAAGCAATCCCTTGAGGCAAGGTTTGATCCCTGCACCAAGCAATCCCTTGGGAACTCAGCTGCCAACTGAGCTACCCTTGGCGGTTAATTTATCTGCTATGCACATGTGCCTTATTTTATTTTTTATTTTTCTCTTTACATGATTTCGCATATTTTTATGTGTATATATAAGAGATAAAATTATTCATGAAAAAAGTAGTTCCTTATTTTATATCACTTTTTCTTAAATAATAAAGCAAAATAAGAAAAATAAAAGTTTTCACGCACTATCACTTTACCTTTTTGTTTTTCAAATTATAAAATAAAAGCATTCAGATAATGGAAATATCATGATGAGCAACTTCTAATATATTATTATTAAAAAAAACACTTTCGTAACGTATATATAATTTTTTAACCGGTCAAAACAGGAAAATTACAGAAAAGGAAACCAAGACATCGACTGGCAAGCAACCGGGTCTTATAATTTTGAGTTGGGGTGTTAAAGTGATAGAGTACAACACGAAAGTGGGTGGTACACTTCTTTTTTAAGAGTACATTCTTTCTCAATAAAATTAAAAATATGTAAATTAGCATTAAAAATAAAAAATGGGTGGATTTACAATACTTATCTAATAATTTTTCCCATTAAAATTATAAAAAATAATATTAAAAATAAAAATTGAGTATAGTAAATACGTTAAATAAATTATAAATTTCTAATTTTAACGAGTGCAACACTTACTTCTCCATCCTCAATTTTTTTTCCAATCACTTGTCACTGTCTCATTTGTATTCTTATTGTACATTTTAACCAAAATGCATCAGGAAAGATTTTTTTAAAGATTTTCCTACTAGTTTGAGGGTGTTTTTAATTACTTATCTTTCGAATTTAGTTAGAAGTGAGTAATTCATAAAAAAAATTAAAGAATTCGTATGAATGTTACTTATTGTATAACTATAACTATAAATAATTAGTATAAATAAATTTTGAACTTTTGACTTGCATATTTTTTTTAGTTAAAGTTAAAAAAAAGAGCTTAAAAAATAAAGTTAAAAACTGTTTGATGATTATATAAAATTGTTCTAAGTTTACAGGAAAAAAAAATGTTCTAAGTGTTTTGAAGGAGGGAAGATAAAATAATTTATTACTAGAATAAATTATTAGGGGTAAAGAATACAATTGATAGATACAATAAAAGTGAAACTAAAAAATAAATATAAGAACTCTAAGAAACTAGTATATATCTTTAAGAAAAAAACTCCTCTTGGGAGTTTTTAATTTTTTCTTTTTTCATTTATAAAAAAACTTTTTTTATAATAAAAACTTTAGTAAAAACATATTTGGCTAAGTTTTTGCTTATAAGAAGAACAAAAATAAAAAATAAGAATTCTCAGGAACTTGTGAAGTTCAAGTTGAATTCCAAAAACTAATAAATAATATTAAGCTTTTGGCTTGTATTAACCTTAGATTGAATAAATTAGGAATTCCAATTTAATGTGTTCTTACCGTAAAATATTTTATACAATTATTTTAAATATAATGACATTAAAAAAATTGAACTTTCTTAACGATAATTGTGATGATATTTGAACAATACAAAATTAAATGATTGTATGTAAAATTTATCATGACAATGCATTAGATTTAAATTGATGTAATACATCTACCCATTTGTACAATTTCCTACGAGAAAAAAAAATCGATGTTATTTTTATGCTACATAATTTTAAAAAAAAAATTAATATAATTTTTTAAGAAACTTGTTTTAAAATGAAATACTCTATCTAACATATCACATTATTTTGGTCATTCAGAAAATTAAAAATCATCAATTCAATCTGTTAATAAAAATATATCAAAACATTAAAATACAATTTATCGATTTATTTTTTAAAGTATTTAGTATAAATATATTCATAAAAGACTTCCGAATAAAGAGGACACTGGTGACTAGGTAGTAGTTTATTCTTTGGATTCTTGACTTATGAGACAGACAAATACTGATTAGTTAAATAAAGTTCTTTTGGAAAAGAATGAAAAAGACAAATTATACAAGACGAAACGAACGTGTAGACAGCTAGGCACACCTAAACCCACAATGCAGCGCCACTTGGGTGTATCTCATTCTCATAGTCATTTTTGGAGCTTGAACTTTAATTTATTTTTATTTTTTTTTAAATAACTTTAATTTTTTTCTTTAGAAATATAACTTACTTTTAAGTTTATATATATATATATATATCACTTTAATTTATTTTGTAAAGCTTATTTTAATTTATCATAAAAAATTGTATTATCTCTAAAGAAAGTTTTTGTATGGATAGTTAATAAATAAGATGTTTCAACATGAATAAAATTCTTAATTATTTTTAAATTTTATCACATAAGAATAGCTTTTTATTATTAGGGTTCAAATTAAATCTTTTTTCAATGGTAAACCAAAAAAAAAAACTTATTTTTAATGGATATTATAAACTAAACTAACGGGGAGTGGATCACGTGGAAAAGTAGTCATATGATCATGTTATTTGATCACAATCACTCATTTAAAAATTATACATTTTTTTTCTCTTATATCATCATCAATAAGTAATTATAATCAAATAATATGATTACATGATTTTTTTTTACATAAGATGATGTACTCTCAAACTAATGATAGTTTGTTAACAGAAAGTAGTTAAATCTTAAGGACACTGTCACACTGATGTCATTTAACGGAACCTAAACAAATGATTTAATTACTTTTTCTGTCTTCTCGATATTCTCCCTTCTCTCTCTACTCTGTCTCTCTCTGCAGTAAATACTCCACGTTGAAATTTTCGCAAAAGTTTGTGCTTACCGCTCTTGGGTCACTTTGGTTCTAAAAAAATAAAATTGAGAGTGACATGACATGGATAATAAGGCATACCTTGCGTGCTATGTTATTAAAAGGGATTTAGACGTTATTTTATTTATGTTGCAGCAATATTATTCCTCTTTCTTACGCATACTTGAAATTTTGTACCATTTTTTTTTTAATTTTTTTTATTTTAAGTGATTGCCTTCACTTATTGATGTCTCAGCAGGAAGCATAATTTCTTTCCTACAACTGATGAAAAGTATTTTCTTTATTAAATATACATTTACATAAAAATTTAAAAAAGAAAGAAAGGAACATTTCGATTGTGTATCCTCCAATTTCACTCCATATCATTGAGAGTGACGTGCTGTATATGTTATTAAATATACACTTACATAAAAATTTAAGAAAGAAAGAAAGGAACATTTCCATAGTATATCCTCCAAGTACATGCTCCAAGACACCCCAAGTATTTGTGAATGTATGGACAATTGGAAGAGACAAAATTTAATGGACTCCTTATTCCTCGTTATTGGATTCCTCATTAGTCTTTAGCTTTTTCCTTCCCCAATTTTAACTGTAAACTTGATAGTCATGCGACGCAAAGCAACCTATGTTGCAGCGGTTGCAACTTACAACTAATAATACGTTGATTAAAATATATAGTGGTTTTGATCAGGACCACAAAAAAAAGGAAACACAATATGAAATTATTAAAGGGTAAAAAAATTTCATGATGGAAATAAGTTATATTCGGTGAGCCCAAAATAATGTCGTTTTGAGATAAAAATCAATGTATTTTTGTAATTTTAATATATTGCAAGGTTGTATTAGTCTTTATCATTATAATTTTTTAATCTTATAACTCTCAAAATGACGTCGTTTTGAGTTCATTAGAGATAACTTATCTCCGGTGACTGAAAAAATATTTTTTCCATAATTAAATTGATAATTTATGAATAATTTAGTATTTCTTCATTAATCTAAAAGAATGCGTGGAAATAAAATTCTAAGGCAACAATGCCTTCTTTTTAGCCAGTCAACATGAAGATCTTTTTTTCGTAAAAAATTTAAAATATTACTAATGCGAAATATAACTGTAGTGTTGCTCGAAGAGGAATAGTATTTCCTGCACTAACATTGATTGTCGTGCTTAACTTTTTTTTTTTTTTCAATTTGGGGTCTTGCCTAAAACTACGTGGGCAGGAATTTGATCTCATTCTTATAACATGATACTTGCAACCCCCATTACTAATTTATGAATAATACAAGGGTTTTATTTTTTTATGTCATATGATGGGATCCATTTTATTTTTATTTTTAAAAAAGAGAAAAAAAATAAAATATAAAAATCAAAATGAGAGTTGGAAATAAATTTTCTCTTTATGTGATATAAAAGAAATAAAACCCACAATACAAGTGGTGTAATACTTAACAAAAAAGTTTTGTCCAATTTTCTGTCCGCCGGTTGGGTCACATCAATTTATGTTATGGAGAAAATATCAAATTGGAGAATTGGTGTCGTTACATGGCCAGATCACATTAAATTTATCAAAATGCTCCGAGCCCTACACTGATCAATATATATAGAAGAATTATTAATTGCAGGCTTTTCTAATGACATTTAATGCATATTAAGTAGAAACCAATGAATAGTACCCCCAAAAAGGAGAAGTAGAAACCAATGAATACAATATTTTTAGAGGCTTAACTGCTTAAGTAACATATAAGATTTTTTTAAAGTTAAATAGGTGATGTTATGGCCTCTGACTATCCAAACGGTGATAGTTTAGTTGGCATACGAGAGCTGAGTAAGTGGAGGGAAGAGCATGTATTCGATGAAATTTAAAGTCTTAATTCTGAACTCGCCTCAAATTAGATTAGTTGTGAAACGATGAATTGATTAGAATATTTAAAAAAAAAAACTATCCAAAGTATAAAAGCTTTGCCTAATATATGAGTAACTTTTTTATTTGATACATTCAAAAAGAAAGTACGATTTTATATTTATTATAAAAATAAAAGATAAGTTATATTTATAAAAAAAACTATTTACAAACTACATTATATATTCTCGAAAATACAAAATAAGGGGTGGACTTAAGCCAAATGAATATAATTTTTATAATTTATGCATTTAATATTTAAACTCTGGATGTGAATATATTTCTCTAATATGATTTGTTTTTGTTGAAAAAAGAAGAAGCAATATCTGAATAGTAAAAGAATATCATTGGATAGATATATTTTCAACTTTTTATAAATTATCAATTGAATAAGTTATACGTATTTTTATATCAAGCATAATCATATATTTCACGTTTACAGCTCCTTTAATATTTAAAACATCATGAGTTTTACGTGCCGAAACATTCGTGAGTAAAAGATTTAATGTTATAAATTGACTTATGTTAAAGATCGGTGAAAATATAAATCCATAAAATATCTAAGACTTGTTATATTAGCAATATTTTCTGCTAAAAAATATGACACCGCCCTGCTGCTAATAATTTGTATTTTGTAATAATTAGAGTGGAGACCTATGATTACACAGCTAACATGAGTTGTAGCCTTGTAGGCAATCGGTTCATTCAATATATATAATTTTTTTTGTAATATTTTATTCGGTTCATCGTTTCATGATTAGGCGATTCAGGGTAGGTCTCGAAATTAAAACTTTAAATCTCCTCTCAAATACGGTATTGAAGAGAATCGAATACATGTTTTAACTCCTGCCTGTTCAATTCCCTAGCACAAACTAATTAGCTATCATGGTTTGGTTAACGATAATCTCCTTTTGATAAAGATAATCAAAATGTCGACCATATCTTGAAGCCTTCCTTATATAATCGGCTATACGCTTGGTACATGGGCATGAAAGAAATGCTATACAGATTCGATTGAGTGAATCTGAAACGAGAAGACGAAGTTTTTACTTTGTGGCGAAGCTTAAGAATTGAAGACATGAATAAATATTGTAAGAAATACATCCAAGATAATATTGTAAGATCCTGGATGAATTACAACATCATCATTTGATTATAAATAATTCTAAAAATTGAAGATATAAATAGATAATGATGGCTTGATTTAATATAATATAAAGTTTATTCACATTTCAATCTCGGCTACACCTTTTTAAATTAATAAATAATATGACATTATTTATTTACAATATCAAATAATTTATTTATTTTAGTGTAAACGTTCAGATATCATCATTATTGTATTTCCAAAAAAAAAAAATATCATCATTATTATCATCCTCTATATTCAGGTCCTATCAAACTAGACCACGAGGGATGCAATAATGCAAGTAGGAGTTTGAGTGGAACATTACTTTCAAGTCTAGACATGAATTTAACCAACTTTGTTTGGTTTGCAAAATTTTCAAACCAATCAAACTAGTGGTGCTATAAAACAAATACAAAAAAATTTAGATTAACAGTTTGAAAAGGGAATATATATATATATATATATATATATATATATATATATATATATATATATATATATATATATGAGGGAGGATCATTTGACATCGGTGTCAAATTAATTTTTATAACTTTATTTTTTTTTTGTATATCTTTAAAACTTTATTTTTTAAATTTTTATTTTTTCTTTTCAAAAGAGGGTTGACCCGAACCGATTCCAAACCGATTTTGAACCGAACCACCATTTAAACCAATTCGGTTCGGTTCGACCCATGCACATCCCTAGATTTAACTGATAACATTCTAAAAAAATTGATATAAAATTCAAACTAAATCAGCTAACAAAATCTGAACAAACAATTGGTGGAGAACTGACCAAACCAATCCAATATCAATAAAATTAAAGGTGAACCAATTTAGTTTTTTATTTTTTTATTTTTAATTGAATCAAACTTTTTTTCAATCAAATAGTTACTCAATGTCAAATTACAAAAATTATATAAAGGTTAACGTCTGGATCACACACTGTTATTGTTGAGTTGTGTTTGGGTTGATGAGCTGTTTGTGGGATGCTTTGTGAGATGTTTGGGCTGATACTAGTGCTATGGGAAAATTAGAGGGGACTGAAGAGGGTACCTACAAGGCAAACCGACGCTCAAGTCATTAAATTTTCAAGATGTTCAAATATTGATGGAAGATAATCATAATTGGGGTTAATGTCTCTATATTTATAATAGATGAGCGTCTTACTTTATGATGCCCTAATATAACGGTGTTTGCTTCTATTGGTGGAGAGTGGTAATCTTCATAAGTTATTATCTGGATAAGATACCTATAGTTAGGCTAAGCCTTTATAGATGTAGAGACAAGTAAGTGTTTGTCCTCAAGTCATTGGTTCTCATGAAAATAAGGGTGCTCTGAACAACTGATATCATATAGCTGCAATTGATTGAGTAGCTCGTCATATGTGTCGGGTGGTTACAGATTCTCAAGATACGCGGAATAACCACGTTTCCTTCTTCACTAAGTAATAATCTTTTGGACTCTTTAAACCTTTCATTGATTAGGCCTATGACTATGAGATAGGTCAAAGATCAACATGTAAATGAAGCATGAGATGTCTTGTTAAGTTTTATATATGTTGTAAACTTACATGTTGATATGCCTCCAACATATATATGATTTTAAGCCAAAAAGATAAAGAATCTTGATTAATCTTGATTGAAAAGGGCTAGAATTGTTATTAAGTTGATAAATCTCAATCAGATATCTTGTCACTGATTTTCTTATAATTTTATAGGAAAACAGGACAAAAAGAAGGCCAAATTAGAAGAACCAATCTGACGCACCGCGCTATTAGCGTGGGAAGAACTTTTTGATCCAGAATCACCACGCTTTAGCGTGGCACTGGCGCTAGCAGCGCTAGCCATTCTAGCCAATCGCGCTATCAACGCGGGAACCACGCTAGTAGCGCAGACATGCATTATGCTGAATAAAACTCACGCTATTAGCGCCAAACTGGCTCTAGTAGCGCGGGAGGTACGAGAAAATCTTAAATTTATCTCAGATTGTATATGGGGAAAGATTGAAGCCAAGATTTACGATGAAGATTCAATCAAGATTTCTAAGCAAGGCGTAAGCTCTATAAATAGAGACTCAAACCTCAGAGACAAGGAACTTTTGGCTAGAGAGAATTGTGAGGATCAGAGAATTAAAAGAATTCTTGGAGACTTGCGCTGGAGATCAGGATTCCACCGGAGTTGAAGACTGAAGATCATTGAGCTTCCGTCCTCTTCTTCTTCTTTATTGCTTTTATTAACAATTTTTATTATTTGAATTTGTTTAAGCCAGCTATGTCTAGCTAGTTTTTTTTTGTAGTTGGGATCACGAACCCGATGTGAATCCTTTGTATTTTTTATATTGTTTTTATAATTTAATTAGTTAGTTTATTTTATTCTACCTGTGTTAATTTTTCCATATCCTGATTAGAATTGGCCACTCTAATTATAAGGCTTTGAGGGTTAGGACTCACAATAGACATAATGAGGTTTTAGTCTGGACAAGGGTAGAATAATAATTTGTGCATGACCTAGACATAGGCTTACATAGATTGCAGACTTATAATTCATTTGCTTAATGCTTAATTCAAGAGGGATTACTAAGACATTAAGATTCTAATTGGGTCAAAGGGTTGAATTCACTAAGACATCAGGGTTCAACTATTTTATAGGAAAATAATGAATTGTATGAGCAAAACAATTAGTTAATTATAAAATACAATATAGGAATATAAAGGAGGATCGGAGGTGAAGTGCATCCCTGCTACAGTCTTTTTACAAATTTTTCACCAATATTTTCTTAACGTTCTTGATACTTTTGCATGCGTTCAAATTTAATTAATTTTAAATTCTGTTTTGAAATCCCAAAATCAATTACTTTCACAATACAAACAAATTTTCTTTTTCAACTTAAGGGGAATAGTTGGATTAATACTTGGTGCATTAATCCTCGAGGAAACGATATCTTACTTATCACTTTATTACTTGAAACGAACGGTATACTTGTCGATTTCGCAACAAATGTTCTACTCACCATTTTATGTGGGACTCGTGAGTATAACACCCTCTTAGCTTTATATTTAAATGACTCAATTCATTATTGAACGTGGAACATTTAAACACTAAACATAAAAATAATCTTCTCATTACCTTACTATACTATATGTGATATTAGTTAAATGATTATTATTTAACTTCTTTTTTTTTTGGAGTTACCCAACCCTAATTATCTCTTTGAGACGAGTTGGCTCCCTCCGGTATTCTCACGAGCTTCGACTCTTTGAGCCGGCTATGAGACTAATCCGGAGTGCGGGGGAACAGTGATTGCTAAAGGTTCAGCCCCCTCACCAAGATTGCATTCAGCAGGAATCGAACAAATATGATATTTCTAATAAAAAAATAAACACATGTTATTCAATAAAATCAACAAGATATTTTACTTAATAAGAAATAATATTAGTAAAAGGTAATGTAGATACCCAGTGAAGTACTCCAATCAAATCCAAGCCAGCGACCGCCAGACAAAGATATCATAGCACTAGGCCAGCCAGGACAGACAGAGAGAGTAACCAATAACGTTTGGTCTTTATTTTCAAAGCTCTAATGATCAAGTAGTAAGTAAGTACTAAGTAGTCTAGGGAATCTGGTAATAAAAAAGAAAAAGGAAAGAACAATTTTTGAAAGTACATGAAAGAAATAAGAAGCAAAGGCCCATTAGCTTCTGTTTCAGATTTGCTGCCATCACACTGGTTTCACCCTTTGGAGCATTTGTTTCTGCCAGAAACATGAGCTGTCTGTAATCTTGTTTATTCACTGTTTCATTTCATCTACTTCTTTATTTTACTTTTGTTTTTCAACAAGTTAGAAAAAACAGGTTTTGTTTGTTCTTTTTTTTTTTTTTCTTTTTTTTTTTTGTTGAACCCTATTTGTTAGTACTAAGTTTACTAAAGTTCTTTTGGTCATTCTGGCAATTTTGCTTCACATTGTTTATCTTTACATGAAGTTAACCGTTATTGTTTAATTATTGCAGTTTAATAATGGGTTGATTATTCTGCACTGCAGAGGTGAAGGTTACTCATATGTTAATTGAATATCATGCACATGGTGCCAGAGGTTGATGTCGGTGGAAATGGACTTCGTATTTGTGCTTTTGCTATTGGCTAGTGTACGTTCTTTGGCGCTGCCTGAGCCTGATTTACAAGGTATAATCTTCTGTTCATCTTGCACTCAAGTTATTATGAAGTTATGTGAAAGTTAACTGCAGTTTTGAATTTCCTTCAATTCCCTTCTCCAAGATAGGTTCTGGGTTTCAACTTAATAGAAAATTGAGTTTTTGTCTGCATTTAGATTCAATAATCTTTTTGTTCTTCCCCTTCAATAAGATTGCCCTTGAACCCTATTATTTTGTTTCGGAGGTAGTTGACTGTGTTGTAATTTCCCTTGCCCTTTTTGTTTTCCTTCCTAATCCTTTCTGGTACACAAGTGTCTGTTTGGGTTGACCAGGTGACACTTCGATCCATACTCATTTTGCCTTTTTCCTTATATCATTCAGCAAAATCAGTTGGATTTTTTTTCTCTTCTTAATTTATTCAAATGTGCTCCATATGAATGATCATTCTGTGAAACTAAGAATAAATTGTTTAGTGCATTGAAATTAATGAAACTTAGGAATTTGGATCATTTGCTTACTGGGAAAGATAATTATAGCAGGGGGGAAAATCGTTTTGGCAAATTGTACCTTTTTACATCGTTATAAATTCTGTTATTATTGAAAATTTGAAACAACTGTTAGCATTTGCTTGTCTATTCCTTGCTAATATCCTCTTAAAGTTTTTCATTTAGACATATGCTTCTCAAAGTTTAATTTCCAACTCATTTATGGGGAATACATAGATAAAACACTTTGTTAGCAATATCTGATGATCTTATCATATTTTACAAGATTGTATTAGAAAATGTTAAGGATTTGAAACATATCTGCCTTTCCAGTTTCATCAAAGTTGCGGATGTTGTTGAGTTCTCAGTCTTAGCTCTAATAGGTGTATAATGTTCATGTTCATTTCAGAAGATGCACTATTTGCATTGAAGATATCACTGAATGCTTCAACTAACCAGCTTACTAATTGGAACAAAAATCAAGTAAACCCTTGTACTTGGTCCAATGTTTACTGTGATCAGAATAGCAATGTTGTTCAAGTGTAAGATATTCTTTTCTTAATGCATCCATTGATTGTTTTCTTTTAAATATTTGATCTGCAGAACATGTGAACAATCATTACCTTCATTGGTACTGGAGTATTTTGTGCATGCTTTATAATTATATAAATCACTTCATTGCAGTTCATTAGCATTTATGGGATTCACAGGATCTTTGACGCCAAGAATAGGAGCTTTAAAAAGTCTTACAACTCTGTAAGTATTTATAATATGAAATATCCACAAAACTGGGTCAAATTTAACAGGAGAAGTTTTGCAGCCCCTTGTTTTTGTTCCTAGTCTCATCATTCTTGGTATGTTGCATTATAGTGTTATGACGTGAGTTGTGGAATGATATAGATACATTTCTTTGTTATTTTTATATGCTTGCTCAGGCTTTAAGCTTTTTACAGCTGAATATACTATCTTCTATGCATCTGATGAAATGTAGTAGACTATCCGTTAGGGTTTCTACTTTCCAGTTATTAATTTGAGAACTGAATATGAAAATATGTATATATCATCTGCAGTCCTTAAGTCTCTCTCTCTCTCTCTCTCTTTATATATATATACACACACACACACACACACGTATGTGTGTGGAAATATGTATAATTTGGTTATTTTTGAAAAAGCATTTCATGCTCTTTGGTGAATTTAGTGATTAACTCATACTCTTATTCTTCACGAGTTCATTCTTGTTCATATATTTCCCCTTTTTTTTTTGGTTTTTTGGTTTTTTGGTGTGTGGGTGGTGGTTAGATTCACGCATTGGTTTCATTATGTTTTTGGGGGAAATTATACACACACACACACACACTGAACCTAGCAAGTAAGATTTTTAGGTGTAACCATTGGTATATGTTACACATTTATCATGCAGTTCTTTGCAAGGGAATAGCATCACTGGTGGCATACCAAAAGAATTTGGAAACCTTACAAGCTTGGTTCGATTGGATTTGGAAAACAACAGATTAACTGGTGAAATACCATCTTCCCTTGGTAATCTTAAAAAGCTTCAATTCTTGTAAGTATGGTAGTCTGTTCCTAGGTTTTGCTAATATATAACGAGTCTTAGCATCCGTTTCCTTCTGTAATGTTTAGAAGTGTCTGTTGTTTATCTTGCCACCAGGACATTGAGTCAAAACAATCTCAATGGGACTATCCCAGAATCACTTGCCAGTCTCTCGAGCTTGAGCAATGTGTATGTACACTATTCTTTGACGCTTTTCGTTTTTTACTTCGAAGTATATTTCATTATCATTTCATTATCTGATAAATTGTTCAAACTCCTCTTTTGCAGTCTGCTAGATTCAAATGATCTAAGTGGGCAGATCCCAGAGCAGTTATTCAAAGTTCCTAAATACAAGTATGTATGGTAAACTAGTATTAGATTGAATATTTAAAGCACCGTTTAAAGATGAGTTTGTATCCCTGACCCAAGTACCATATGCAAAACACTTGAAAATTGGTCGCTTGTGTCCAAAAGAACTTCAAATATAGAACTTCACTTAACAATTACTGTTATTAACATACTCAAATAGTAGTGTATGATTCTAATGGTTTAGTTCCCATAGATTGACTTTTTTCCATATACTTGTTATTTAAAATTTTAAAGATTAGAAAAGTAGTGCTTTTTCTCAATTCTTGGAAATACTACTTTTTATTTAAAGATATGTAATCATCATATATTTTGTTAACCACATAATTTTAGCTCCCATTTGATAGGAACCTAGAAACGGGTTCTAAGTTTTCAGAGAGAGATGTGAGAAAAAACAGAGAAAGGAAAGGAAGAAGAATACTTGGGGAGTGTTTATTGAATTACAAAGTAACATAAAGAGAGAATTTTTATGAAGGGTTTCCATAGAGCCTTTGCTCAGTTTTCAAACCTCAATTCCCAAATGCCTCCCTTCTACCTTGCTCCTGCTATTTAAAGCCTGAACTCCAGTGCCTAAATACCTATCCCCTTGGTAGATTCTAACTTTAACCAAGTAAACAAACATCCATCCGTCTAACTTTGAACCTGTTCCTACTTATTCTTCTGGTTCCTATCACCATCCCTTGACTTTATAGTCCATATACTAACTTGTTACTTAATATTAATTTGAATGGTACAACACTAGAAAAGTGGTTGGTTTCCTAGCTTCCTGGAAATGAGATTTATCAGAAAGAAATGGTTTTTCTTACATTTCTAATGGGAAGGCTGTTCTCAGGGACAAGGTTTTATTTGAAGATGTGTTTCAGGCAACAAATAGGAGTGATAACAATAAACAAAATATATGCTTATATTGTAAGATGATATGTAGAAACAGAAGTGTAAGGCATATGTCAATCTAAAACTCTTTTTGTCCCTCCTTTTATCCGGTGTGAGCCATGTGCCATTGCCATGTTGTTTATGGAGTCCTTAAATAGAAATAAAATATTTGAATTTAGGATTCATATGATGTTTTCCTTGTTAGTAACACATTTTATTGTGATTTGTTGTGCTCCTTGTTGCAGTTTCACTGGAAATAACTTGAATTGTGGCGTGAATTATAACCATCTTTGCGCATCTGATAATGCAGATCAAGGTTTCTTGATTGAAATATTTTGTTGGTCCTGTTTTGTTTCGTAAGGGGTTTCCCTAATCCCCCCTCCCCCCCTTCAGGCAACAAGCTGAAATCTAATTTTCTTCACTTGACAGGTTCATCCCACAAACCAAAAGTAGGCCTCATAGTTGGAATAGTTATAGGTTTAGTTGTTATTCTTTGTCTTGGTGGCCTGCTGTTCTTCTGGTGCAGGGGCTACAAGCGTGAAGTTTTTGTAGATGTTGCAGGTTTGAGTTCCTCTTTTACTCTGTACATTGTTCTTGTAGATTGTATGTAGTTGCAGTATTGGAAATTATTGATCTGGTAACCCTATCTACACACTCTGTTCTAAGCTGATCCAATACTGTAAACTCATGAATTAATATGATATAAGACATTATTGTCCCCATTTTGAGATTGATTTATAGGAATGGTATATTGCTTGGCTCTTTATGCACAATTTATTGGAATTGTACTTGTTGAGATATATAAAACCATTAAAAAGCCCTCACCCACCAGCTTAAGCTTTTGGGTTGAATTGGTTCTTTACATGGTATCAGAGCCTCGTGTCCCGGGTTCGATCCTTGCCGCCCCCCACTTTCTTTCAAGTGGAATTTCTTTGTTCGCACAGGTAGGTGGGCCTGTGCATCGTCCACCCTTCAAGCCCAGTGGGCTCTCGTGTGAGGGGGCGTGTTGAGATATATAAAACCATTAATGTAGCCTCACCCAACAGCTTAAGCTTTTGGGTTGAATTGGTTATTTACATGGTATCAGAGCCTCGTGTCCCGGGTTCGATCCTCACCGCCCCCCACTTTCTCTTGTGGGATTTCTTAGCACAGGTAGGTGGACCTGTGCATTGTCCACCCTTCAAGCCCGATAGGCTCTCGTGTGAGGGGGCGTATTGAGATATATAAAACCATTAAAAAGCCCTCACCCACCAGCTTAAGCTTTTGGATTGAATTGGTTCTTTACAGTACTTTTTCCTATTGATCAAATCCTCATATCCACTATGATGGTTAATGGCATCTGGCTGAAGTACTATATTTCTATTTCAGGGCATCTGGTTAATTAATGTAGTATTATTTTTATTGATTAGGCTTAGTTCTTCAAATATATTTTGCACTTCAGTATTGCCAATGTGTTTTGGTTTTCTGAGACATTGTGACCCACCGGATCTAATGACTACAAATAGGAATATACCCCCTCCATTCCTTTAAACCTTCCATGTCCAATGAAGATGGAATATGGTCAAAAATTTGAGATGACAGGAGAATTTAATGATTGATCCTGTCTTGCAATGCTATTTTCTTTAATGCTTTTAATTGTGAAAACTTGTTGAAATAATGTAAAAAAAGGGCAAACCCCAGTACACAAGGCTTGCACCTAACTTGCGAAGATTGTTTCATAGATTAGAACCTGTGATATTCCGGTAGCAAGGAGCAATCTCCCTCAAAACTTATTGAAACAATGCAGTAATATTTGTTTTTTTTTTTTTTTTGGTAACAATGTAATAATATTTATTTTAGAAAAAGAAGTATTATGAAATAGAAGAGAAGTGCACGAGGGCAAGGATAAGGTATCCTCAAGAGCTGAAAAAAGTTAAACAAGGAAGCTTGGAATGCATAGTTTAATAACAATATGATAATTAAAATTTGATGTGAACTATCTATTTTAGCATTTTCGAAATTTCTTCTTGCAAACTATGTATTGTAATCTCTCTCTTTTTTTTTTTGTTCTTTAACCTTCAGGTGAAGTTGACAGGCGAATTGCATTTGGTCAAATAAAAAGATTTTCCTGGAGAGAACTACAGATAGCTACAGACAACTTCAGCGAGAAAAATGTTTTAGGACAGGGAGGTTTTGGAAAGGTTTATAAAGGTGTTCTAGCTGATGGCACAAAAGTTGCTGTCAAAAGGTTAACTGATTATCAAAATCCTGCTGGCGATGCAGCTTTCCAGCGTGAAGTCGAGATGATAAGCGTAGCTGTCCATAGGAACCTGTTACGGCTTATTGGGTTTTGTACTACTCCAACTGAACGCCTCTTAGTTTATCCCTTCATGCAGAACTTAAGTGTTGCCTATCGTCTAAGAGGTACTTGGTTAAAATGTATATGATCATTACTGGTCTGTTAAGTATTAAATTTGATTTGCTATAAACTATAAAGAGAGAGTTTTATTATTCTAAGTTTTTAAATGGGATTGGAGGGGTCATTTTATATAGTTAAATAGTCAACGGGCCTTAATAATATCTTATTTTGTTTCTGTCATATTAACCATTTTAACATTTCCAAAATACAATTGGGTGCAGAAGTAGTCAAAGATTTAATCTTTGACATGTCTTGTCACTAGAACTATCCTCATGCAGGCTTGCCTAATTTAAAATATTCAGCTTTTTATACTGTTTTTACATCCTAAATGCCTGATATGACATTGATTTTGTTTGTTTGCTTGTAAAATTTTGCATATTTTCCAGTGATATTTGACTACTTGAATATTGATGCAGAAATCAAACCTGGGGAACCCGTTTTGGATTGGCCTTCAAGAAAACGAGTGGCTCTGGGAACCGCCCGTGGCCTAGAATATCTTCACGAGCAATGCAATCCTAAGATTATTCATAGGGATGTGAAGGCAGCTAATATATTACTAGATGGAGATTTTGAAGCAGTTGTTGGTGACTTTGGTTTGGCTAAATTAGTTGATGTTCGAAAGACTAATGTGACAACTCAAGTTCGTGGGACAATGGGCCATATAGCTCCCGAATACTTGTCCACAGGAAAATCTTCAGAAAGGACAGATGTTTTTGGTTATGGGGTTATGCTTTTGGAGCTTGTTACAGGTCAACGTGCAATTGACTTCTCACGTTTGGAAGACGAAGATGATGTCTTATTGCTTGACCATGTGAGAAAACCTCATTTTACTATCATGACCTTGTTTGCTCCTTTATGTCTATCTGGTTGTTTCTTATTTGGCTGAACATGCTTGAACTTGTGCATGCCACTTAGTGCTTTTGTTAGGAATTCAAGTGTGAATGTTAAAGTCCTACATTATTTAGGAATGGAATTAAGCAAGGACCATATAATTAAAATGAAGAGTAAATACCCTTTTTGGTCCTCAGCAAATTTAACGATGCCCGTTTTAGTCTATAGCAAATAAAAAGGCTATTCATGGTCCCTAAGAAATTCAAAATGGATTCATTTAGTTGAAATTGTGGTTCCTCACAAATTCAAAAAAGACCCCATTAATCCCTCAAAAGGACTCAAATGGGTTCACTTTGAATTTTTTAAGGACCACGAATAGCCTTTTTATTTGCTAGGGACTAAAACGGGTATCGTAAAATTTGCTGAGGACCGAAAATGATATTTATTCTAAAATGAATCATGAACTCAATACCTTAAAGTTTTAGGTTTAAATGTGGTGTCCAGCACACTTTTAAAGAATACATGATTTGCTTGTGAACACCCTTACCTTAGATAATCTTGCTAAAATATGTGCTTTTGCCTTAACGGTGCTTGTGCTTGTTATCTTAAAAAATAAGCTCTGTAGCATTCAGTTTATACTTATTGGTTCCTGTTTTTGCTATATTTTGTGCTTTATATAGGTTAAGAAACTGCAACGGGAGAAAAAACTAGATACTATTGTTGACAGCAACCTTGATAAAAATTACAACATAGAAGAGGTTGAAATGATTACACAAGTTGCGTTACTATGCACGCAAGCATCGCCAGAGGATCGTCCAGCAATGTCAGAGGTTGTAAGAATGCTGGAGGGAGAAGGTCTGGCTGAAAGGTGGGAGGAATGGCAGCATATGGAGGTCACTCGGAGGCATGATTTTGAGAGACTACAAAGAAGATTAGATTGGGGAGAAGATTCGGTTTATAACCATGATGCCATTGAGTTGTCGGGTGGAAGATGAGAATATTCATAATTTTAGACCATTTTTTTTTTTATGTTGTATAATAATATCCCTTTTTAACAGCTTTATTTGATTTTAAAATGTAGGTGCTATTGTATTCCAAGTGTAAAAAGAGTGAGTAATCCTCATATTATCAAGTGAAAATTATAGGTATCAATTATTCATGAAAAATGGGAATTAATACTCTAATAAGTATAAAATACAGGAATTACAATTCATATGAATGAAAATATGAAGATTAATGTTAAACAGAAAAAACAAAGGACCTTAACCCTGAAACTTATGCAAACCTGGTGTTTATTTTTTCTCTCTTAGTTATTCTAGGAATTCACTTTGTGCAGCTTTTATAATACAGGCTTCTGCTAATAGAGTTTCCTAGTGGGAATCCAGGACACTTTGTTGCTGATTATCAATTGCAGGAATTTTACCACGTTTATGCTTGTATGCGTTTCATTATCACTAAAATTTATAAAGTAGCTGCAAAGATACTTGCAATAAGATGAGGACTTATTAACACTACTTGCAATAAGATTTCATAATACTCCTCCAAACTCTCCAAAGAAATAGAATAATAAAATGAGAGAGAGAGAAATCGTCCAAGTTCTCGTTATAACTTTCATGGCATTTTCCGTAACGTGTATAAAATGAAAGAGAAGGTTATATTGATAAACTTTTTTTTTTTTTACAAATTACTCAGTCTGATCAATCGTACATTTTTTATTGAAGTTTGTCTGATCGGTCAGATACAATGTAATTTGTAAGAGTTTGTAAACAAAAAGTTTGTAAATATAACCTTCCCCAAAATGAAATGGAACTTCCTGAATTCACTCTTTCTAATGGAACTAAAATGCAGCATTTCGTTCTGTTTTTAAATTATATCATACATAGAATAGAACCGCGTTATGTTGTATCACATTCTAATACATCTACTAAACACTATACTACACTTTGCATATCTCATTTGTGACATAAAATACCGTCTCTTCTTGCTTGGAATTGGAAGCAACGGCTTTAGCCCATTCTCGAAGCTTTGCTTTCATCCACTCTGCATCCACATTAACGAAATCATTGCGCTGAGCCTGAAGGTACAAAGGAGGTTGCTCTTGGCAACGGGTATCACAGTACTCTTCCAAACTAATGGTACATTCTTTGTAATCTATGCCTGCCATTGCCATAGCTTCAATAGACATGGCTTAATTAATTACTAGGATCAAGGTGGAGGATGATTATGATTTTATGATGCTTGTAAATCGTAATTGAGAGGTAGGAGCATTTATATATACCAAAACAACCAAACAACTAAGGTTGTTCCTTGTTTAAGGTTAGGCAACTAAAAATAAAGCAAATCACGGATGTTGTATGGACAAAGTACATTTCTTTTATTTGTAATAAGGTGGGTAATGTGAATATCTTGAAGTGAGGTAGTTGATTTGAGTATGTCAGCAATTACGTCATAACTCTTATAATACTATCCTTAGTGTCTGGAACTGCATGCAAGAAACACGTTTAAAAACCTGCGATCATCACGAAAACTATTCAGATCCTAATTTTAAATGTGACCAATTCAGATCCTATTATAAGTATCTTGTAATTTTTGTTTAATTTTCATGTATCTATTCTATTCATATATTTACGTTGATGTCTCCTCTGAAGTGAATTAAAATGCTCAAAGTTTGTTTAATGATAGATCAATTTAAACCAAACAACATGTCAATTGATATAAACAAGAGAAATAAGTTGACAAATCAAAGAGCAACAAAACGAAACCCTATTCCAACCAATTCACAATTTATTTATTTATTTATTTTTTTATCAATTTTAGTCATTTTGTATTTTTCACTTGTTTTTAATATTTTCTTTTATTTTTCTTCTCCTATTTATCTGATGTTTATTTTCCTAACTGAAGTTTTTTCACTAGTAAAAATGGAAATGCCTACTAGACCTAATAAGTAACCAAAAGAAATCATCATGCTAAATTAAAAAAATCCAACCTTTTAAAAAGTAATTTAATAAGCATTAACCTGTCTAAAACCTATATCTAAATAAAATTTGTTCAATATTCTTAAAACGAAAACAGGTAAGCTCAAAAGAAAAAAGAAAACAAAACTTGTTAATCCAAACCTAAAGTAATTTAGTTGAAACTTGACCCAATTCAAAGAGACGTCAGACGACAAAGACTCGCCCAAACAAGCCCAGATGATAAAGACTAGCCCAATTCAAAATAGTTCTTTTTTTGTAAATTAAAAAAAAAATCCATGCAAACAAGCCCTAAACCTGCCTATCTCACCTCTTGAAAAACTGCAGGGTGTTATAAAATAAAGGAAAAGAGATGGAAGAGAGATATAGAGACAAATAGTAGATTAAACAAATAGGCTAGAATTCCACACTTTATTCAGCTATCATGCATATGAATGCGAAATAATTACACTTCAAGTCACTATTAGTGTGGTGGTTACAACGTATGTTAACGGTCATCAGTTACATTTTTATTCAGCATTAATATAGGGGTTACAAAGTATATTAAAAGCCATAAGAAACCAAATAGTCATCACTTGAATTTACAATACAGTGAGATTTCTTTTTTCTTTTTTTTATATATAATTAAAGGAGAAAGTTCTCTTTACAATTTTTTTTTACAAATTACACTAAGTATGATCGGTCATACACTCTTGATTGAAGTATGACCGGTCATACTTAGTGTAGTTTGTAAACAAAAAATTTATAAAGATAATCTTTCCCCTAATCAAATGTGAAAAAGGAAACATATAACGATACATTTTAAAGAGGAAACTTAATTGTATTCTAATTAAATTCTTTTTTGTTTTCTAGTTTACTTTGAAAAGACAATTTTTATTTGGGCTTAGTTGGAATAAGATTTGGGCTACAACTACAAGAGTAAATTTTGTGGGTTAATTGTTATTGTGTCATTAAATAAAAATGAAATTAAAGTTAAGTAAATTTTTTAATTATGTATACAATATTGAAAATATTTAATTAATTAATTAATTATTTTTTTAATCGGATTAAAATTCAATGTTCAAAATCGTAAGTTGAAAATAATTTATTTATCCCTAAGTATTAATAAAAATAAAAAATATCGATTAAGTAAGAAGGTAATTTAATTAAAACTGATTATATTGACTACCAAAAAAAAATCTAATTATATTTTTTAAAAAATTTATAAATTTCTTAATACTTTTTAAAAAATTAAAAGTTTTTGTTCCAAAAACCTCGAAGATGTGTTTGAGACAGAAAATTTGGTAAAGAAAAAAATATATAACCTTTTATTTTAAAAATTATTATCTAATTTTATAATTGTTTAGAATGAAAAATAAAGTAATAAATTGTCCTAAACCTTTTAACCATCTCCTATTTAATTTTATAAATACTATATGATTCTCATAATTTAAAAATAAAAAATCCATCCCCATGTCTTATGCCTTTAAAACCCTACATCCAAACATTTCCTAAGAAATATTAAATTTTGAAGTAAAGTACTAGGAGAGAGATCATTTGACTCCAGAGTAAGATTTATAAGTCTTATTTCTTATCCTAGCCGTTGATTTTTGTCCATCCAACGGTTATAGTTTAGGAAATTATATTTATTAATTAATTATTAATTACACTATTAATGACAGCCATTGATTTTCGTCTATCAACGACTGAAATAGGGAGTAAGACTTAAAAGTCTTACTCTGGAGTGAAAAGAATCCTCCCAAAGTACTAATATGAGGCGCAAAACAGCGAAGCCGATTCTACGGTTCAAAGTTCAAACTTCAAAAGGCAGGGCAATGATAAAGATTGACGAATCCAATGACCTGAGTTATGCCTTTGAACGGTGGATCTGAATTAAAATCACGTGACCATGTTATGATAGAAATTATAATTATATAAAGAATTAAAGATGGATTAATAATAATAAAAAAAAGAAAAAAATATTAAAAAAATATTTACAAAATCATAATCGGTAATTTATCTTTATATAATTGTAATATTTTCATATAATTATATCAGTTTTTTTTCTCATAAGGAGATTTGTTTCAGCACACTAGTACTGGAATATCTTTTTGGTTTTTCCTCCTTTGTCTTTGAAATTATCGAAGAAAGAAAAGATTTCAGAGAATCGCAAAACTGAATAATTGTTTCATCGAAGTTCAACTATGCACAGTAGCTTATATACGTATCACTAGAGGTGGCAAAGCGGGTTGTCCGTCCTAGCTCGTCATAAGTCCACCAAAAAGCAGGTTGGTCTGTCTCACCCTGCCTTTGAAGGTGAGTTAGAAATCTCAGCCCGCTTCATTTCGTTTGGGCGAACGGGAGGGGCTGCCCGTCAAGCCCGTGACATTTTATACTAAAAATTAAAAAAAAAAAAAAATCAGCCCGAGCGGGCTGACAAGCTTGACAGAACAGACAGCAGATTTGAAAAACTCAGTCCGTCCCACTCTATTTGACAGACGGGACGGGCTAGCCCGACGGATTGAGCCCATTTTGTCACTTCTACGTATCACCGTAGTAACTGAACGCTATAGCTGCTAAAAGTTAAAACTAATAAGGCTGCTAAAGTGGAAATACAAGCTGAAGAAAAAGTTACACGTGTAAGAAACTAAAGAAAGCAAGAAAGGTGAGACTAGACCGCAACTAACTGAAACTAATCAAAAACTGAAAATTAACCAATCAACCACTAACAGTAAAGCCCTAAAGGCTGATGTGGCAAGTAATGTACATCAGTTAATAAAATACCTTTCAATTGGCCACTGGTAATAATCTCCTTCTAGCAATGGTTCAAACCTCAAACCTCAAACGTTCTTACTTGTCTTCTTATTGTGTTACAATAATGTGAAGAATGTAACATCAACCTAAACTGTTAGTCTGTCACACCCCGTAACGGAAATTAAAAATAAATTTTTTGGTGTTATTTTTAAGAATAAATTTAAATAAACAGTAAAATTTTAACAATAAATTTGAGTCAAATGTTATATATTACAAGTACGAAGAGGAAGATGTGTACGCAATTAAACTGAAGTTCCGTGTACAATATTATGAAGTAGTTTAAAACTAGAAAAAAAAATGATTTTTACAAATATTTTTTATTTTTTCTTATATTCAATTTACAG